TCAATTTCATTAGTGAGTTTGTTGGTGTTTATAATAGTCTTATTACTGCATTTAACTATCTCTTTTGTGTATAGAATTCAATGCATCATTTGTTCTCTCCATCACTATTGTGAGGCACATTCGGGGAATGCCTGAAAGATTTTCCATGTACTAACACAAGGGAGCGCAAGAGAGCAATCTGGGCAGCAAGAGGAAACTTTCCTGTCCCATTGACTAAAAAAGCAATAGTTCCCAGTACACCAAAAAGGGAAGCTTGTAAGTGGGAAACAGCACAGAAAGGGACAATTGATACCTGATCACCTAGCCTCATAACACACTAACCCATACACAAAGAAACACAAGAGACTCCAGGTAATTCTCTATAATAGGAGTACTGGGGAACTAGCTTTGGTTCCCTAAGCACACAGGTATCAAGCATATTTGAGTTACTGAGCAGTCCAGAGGAAAGTAATTACACTGCATGCCTCCCAATAAATGGTCCTACCTTATTGATGAAAACACTTCAAACTGAAGACTATGCATGATTAAAACTTCCAACCCATGTAATAGCCACAGATGCAGCAATCCAATGAAGAAATACTGCTATGTGGCCGCTTGCTTCCCACTGTATGACACCAGAATCATGAAGCTCAAGTTGTATGCAGGGATGCAGGGTGGGGATGAGAGGGGGAAGAGAAGGTGTGGAAATGATGGCATAATATGGTGCTGTCCTAGGTGCTACCATCTTCCATACCAATAGTGCAAATGCTCATTCATGTCCAGGTTGTCTTTTCTATGAAAACAACAGAATTCCCCAATTTGGTAAGGCTGGCATGCTCACACTCACATCAGTGAGTTGAATTTGAGATGTTTCTGGCGGGAAGGCTTGCTGTAGTCACCCCATTCTTACCAAGTATCATGTCTTACGTAAGAACTGCCTCCTCCATCCTCAAGGCCCCACCTTCTCAGGATATCTACAAAGTCTTAACCTGTGGCCTTGTCTGTCTCTGTTGGTGTCCCTTGTATCACTGTTCTATGGCTCAGTTATTGATTTATACTTATGTCCATCAGCTAATAATTGTACAGTGAAGGAGACTGTCAAGTTAATGGTGTACATTGTGGTGACTCCCATGTTGAACCCCTTCATCTACAGCCTGAGAAACAGAGACATGAAGGGAGCCCTGCAAAAAAAAAAATCAATTGTAACAGTAAAATGTCCTTCTGCTTAGAATGGTAACATGTGGTATTTTGATACAGTTTTATCCAGTCAAGGATAATGGTGGTATTAGAATATTAGTATGGTCTTTCACCATGGGAGCAACTATTAAATAATTCTAAAAGGAACTTTAGCTATGTAATTGAACTAGGGAATTAGATCACCTCACTATGCTTTTTTGTCTTGCCCAGATAATCCTTAGAATTATAGTGTAAGACCTACTGTTGCCAGGGTCGGTGGCTCATGCCTTCATGACTATAATCCTAGCTACTGAAGAGGCTGAGCATCACAGTTCATGGGCAGGAAAGGCCTTGAGACTCTTATCTCCAATTAACCACCAAAAAGCAAAACAAGTGTAGCTGTGTCTCAAGTGGTAGAATGCTAGCCTTCAGAAAAAAAAGTTTAAACCTACTCTCACTCCTTATTTTCTTAAGTTATTCCAGGATTGTGTTATTTTGTATGTAATACTGTTTTGACTGTGCTATTATTTTTACATAGTGTTTCATATTCATAGGATATTACATAATGTCATCCAAATCTATCAATCTCCTTCTAATATCTCCTATATGTTCTTTCTGAACAAAATATGGCATAATTTTTATTTCTTTTTTTTAAGCCAATCATGGGGCTTGAACTCAGGACCTAGGCACTGACCCTGAGCTTTTCTGCTCAAGGCTAGAATTCTACCACTTTGAGCCACATTTCCGATAGTTAAATGGAGATAGTCTCACTGACTTTCCTGCCCCGCAGGCTTTGAACCAGGATCCTCAGATCTCAGCCTCCTGAGTAGCTAGGATTACAGGCATGAGCCACTAGCTCCTGGCGTAATTCCTAGCTAGGATTACAGGCATGGGCCACTAGCACCTGGCATAATTCTATCTCTTAACTTTACCATATCCCTTAATATTCTGACCTGCCTAACTCCCAAAAAATTATATAATAGTTTCATATAAGCTATTTTGTTTTATCTGAACTCATAGATAAGGGCCCTGGAAATTATGTTATTTGCATAATAATGAATGAAACTAGAGATCATCAGGTTAAGTAAAATAATCCAGTCTCACAAAGACAAGTATTGTGTGTTTCTGTCTTGTAGGAGGTATGGCAAAAGAGAAAGAGGCCTAGTAAAGATGTGAGAAAGGAAAGGATAAAAGGTTGGGGATATAAAAGAGTAATGGAGGAGAGAATATGATCAAAATATATCATATGCATGTCTGGAAAAAAATGAATTCTATATCTTGTACAATTAATATATCATGATAAAAAGGGAAGTGATAAAAATTGAGCACTGGAGAAGACCTGAGCTGAAGAGTTGTAGTTAGAATCACATTAGAAAAGAATGAGATCATGGTTTTAGGTGCCATCACTTGCAGGGACTGAGGATTGCAGCTTAGACAATGATATATATGCACCTAAGGGTGATTAATGAATGGCTAATGTCCTATTTCCAAGATTGGGGAAAATGAGAAGAAACAATTAAAATAGTCAGATATTAAACAAGCTCAGTACTTGACACACACTGAAATGTTGGCACACCTTTCAAACTTCAACATCACAAGATTTCCTTCTTTTTTTGTAATACTCGTGAATGTACAATAAGATCACCAAAACCAATTCTGTCAATAAATGTGAAAAAACTAAGGAAGTAAAAGAGATTGTCAAAGAGTGAAATAAGCAGAATTGCTTCTTGCATCATTTTAAGGGAACAGCTTTTAGGGCCCCAGTAACTTGCTCCAAGGTAAATACAAACTAAATTACTACAGTATAACAAAGCAAAGTGGAACTTTCATTTATAAGTATATATCAGTAAAAGAAAAAGACAATTCATACATGAAACAAAGGAGATGTACTAGAGGCTAAGAATCATAATGATGTGAACACTTGCTCAGAAAGATCAAGAATAAATTTTTATAAATACATTCAAAAGACTTTATTTAAATTAACAAGGGAATGAAAAGGACATTACAATCAATTTGAAAGATAAATAGCAAGCTGGGTGCTGGTGACTCATGCCTGTAATCCTAGCTACTCAGGAGGCTGAGATCTGAGGATCACGGTTCAAAGCCAGCCTGGGCAGGAAAGTCTATGAGACCCTTATCTCCAATTAACCACCAGAAAACAGGAAGTGGCTCAAGTAGTAGAGCACTTCCCTTGAGCTGAAGAGCTGAAGGACAGCACCCAGGCCCAGAGTTGGATGAATTTGGTAAATTGAGACAAAATTGGCCAGCAGTCAGAAGCAATTATAAAGCCTCATTACATCAGACAAAATTTATTACCACATGTTTTCTACAATTTAGGAGAGAAACACAAAGGCACAATGCCTATGTGTATCTCATCACATAAAATAATATTTGGAGAAATGAACTCCAAGAAATGGAAGCAAGGTCTTCTCTTTGCTGCTGTTTTTGTTTCCTTTTTATCTTTTCCTTCATTTATCTATCTTTGATAGGGAAAGAGGTGTCACAGAAATGGAAGTACAAAGAATGAACAAATGTAGCAGTGATACTCATTAGACACTATGTTGAAAATGAACTATACAACTTGTGTGAGGGGGTGGGGAGGAAAAACTGGGAGAGAGTGAGGGAAGGGATGTCCTTGTCTAAAAAGAAATGTACTTGGGGCTGGGAAGATGGCTCAGTGGTAGAGCACTTGCCTTGCATGCCTGAGGCACTGGGAAGATGGCTCAGTGGTAGAGTGCTTGCCTTGCATGCCTGAGGCCCTGGGTTCGATTCCTCAGCACCACATAAGCAAAATGAAAAAAAGCTGGAAGTGGCGCTGTGGCTCAAGTAGTAGAGCACTAGCCTTGAGCTGAAGAGCTGAGGGACAGCACCCAGGCCCAGAGTTCAGGACCCATGACTGGACCCCCCCCCCAAAAAAAGAAAGAAATGTACTTTTTACCTGACTTACATAACTGTAACCCTTTTTACATCACCTCCATAATAACAAAATTTTAAATAAAATTTGTTTACAAAAGAAAAAGTTAAAAGGGTGGGCAAAGCACTGCAATATTTAACTCTTAACCAGAATTAACATGGGAGTACACAGTAAAAAGTATAGAAGAAAGTTGATGTGGGGCTGGGAAGGTGGCTCAGTGGTAGAGTGCTTGCCTTGCATGCCTGAGGCCCTTGGTTCGATTCCTCAGCACCACGTAAGCAAAAAGAAAAAAGCCGGAAGTGGCGCTGTGGCTCAAGTGGTAGAGTGCTAGCCTTGAGCTGAAGAGCTGAGGGACAGTGCCCAGGCCTAGAGTTCAGGCCCCACGATCGGACCAAAAAAAAAAAAGAAAGTTGATGTGTTTAGAAAAACACGAGGGGTTTGGATGCATGACTCAGGTAGTAGGGTGCCAGCCTATGAGCAAAAGCATCAGATATGAACTTTGAGTCCTGGTCTCAGAAAATAATAAAAATAAAAATTTATGTAATCACTTAATCTTAATAAAGAAAAAAAATTCCCATGTATTAGAAGATGACCTAAATATATTTGAATACTTGATACTTCTGGTAAAACTTTAAAAAAATTGCAATGAAAGCCTGGTGTATAATTAAAATATGCTAGTGATTAAAATATTTTACAGTGGCTTCCATAATCAGTAGAATTAATAAATAAAGTGACCTAAACAGTTACTAGAACCTCTTTTACATCATATATATATATATATATCCCTATGACAACTTTCTAACATATTAATAGTTCTATATTTTTATTAAATGCAATGTTTGGTAGTGAGCAGAAAGAAGTGAGGAATATCATGCAAATATCCATATCACTATCTATTGGGGGAAGATAATTAAACTCTCAAGTATTATAATCATATGAAGAAGGAAACTCTCTTCTTACAAAAGACCCTTCCCACAGCTCCCTTCATGTCTCTGTTCCTGAGGCTGTAGATGAAGGGGTTCAGCATGGGGGTCACCACCGTGTACATCATCGCCATGACAGTCTCCTTCACAATCGAGTTATCCCCTGATGGACATAAGTAGAGACCAATGACTGTCCCATAGAACAGGGACACTACCAATAGATGAGAACCACAGGTTGAGAAGGCTTTACGGATGCCTCGAGCAGAAGGGACCTTGAGAATAGAGGACACGATTCTGGCATAGGAAACAGTAATGAGGACAAATGGGATCACAAGAATGATGCCTCCCATGACGAATATCACCAACTCATTCACATGAGTGTCAGAGCAGGACAGCTTCAGCAGAGCAGCCATGTCACAGAAAAAGTGGGGGATCACATTGTCCTCACAGAATGACAGTCTGGCCATGAGCAGGGTGTGCAGCATGGCATGGAATGTGGTCAGCACCCAGGACAGCGCCACCAAACCCCCACACAGCTTGGGGCTCATGATGCTGGTGTAGTGCAGGGGAAAGCAGATGGCCACATAGCGGTCATAGGCCATAGCCACAAGGAGGAAGCTCTCCAGGTCTGCGAAAAACAGAAAGAAATACATCTGGGTCAGGCAGCCTGCGTAGGGGATGGCTGGGACTTGGCTCTGCATGTTCTGTAGCAATTTGGGCATTGTGACAGAGGAAAAGCAGAGGTCAGAGAAGGACAAGTTACTGAGAAAAGAATACATGGGTGTGTGGAGGTGTGAGTCCAGTCGAATGAGGATAATGATGAGGAAGTTTCCTAGGACAGTGGTAAGGTACATGGTCAGGAACAGGACATAGAATAGGTTATGGTGTTCTGGCTGGATTGGCAGGCCCAGGAGGAGAAACTCTGAGATGATACTTTGGTTCTTTCCTGACATTCTCTGGCTCTAGGACCTTTAAGAGAGAATAATATGGTGTCTTACAAACTCATTTATTTATGAATACATTGGTATGATACATGATCTTTTAGGTGGTCTGCAATAATTTATCTTACCTTTATTATACAAAAGGTATCAAACAAATAAAAACATTCCATGTTGCTAAATCCAAGTCACCATTTTCTTCACTTCTCATTAGGTTAACAATTTTCACTCTTCCTCGCCTAGTAAAATTGTCATTTATTACTTTTTGTGTGTCACTGGTCCCCTATACTTCCACAGCCATCTATTCTCAATTATTGTAAATGGCTTCTTTTTCTTTATTGTAAAGGTGATGTACAGAGAGACTGCAGTTACATAAGTCAGATAGTGAGTACATTTCTTTGTGAAGTGTCACCCCTTCCCTCATTTTCTCCCAGTTTTCCCTCTCCCAGTCCCTCTTCCCCTCAGTTTTATAGTTCACTTCCAACATAGTGTTTAATGAGTGTCACTGCTGAATTAGTTCACCTTTTCTCCCACTGTTTCTATGCTTTCCCTTCTCCTCTCCAAATCAAATAAACTTATATACAAGACAAAAGATACAGAAATCAAAAACAGGAAGCAAAGAGAAAAGAAGAGGAGGGGTGGAAGAGGAGGAAGAGGAGAAGGAGGAGGAAGAGGAGCAGGAGGAGGAAAAAGAAGAAGAAGAAGGAGGAGGAGGAGGAGGAAGAGGAGGAGGAGGAGGAGGAAGAAGAAGAAGAAGAAGAAGAAGAAGAAGAAGAAGAGGAGGAGGAGGAGGAGGAGGAGGAGGAGGAGGAGGAGGAGGAGGAGGAGGAGGAGGAGGAGGAGGAGGAGGAGGAGGAGGAAGAGGAAGAAGAAGAAGAAGAAGAAGAAGAAGAAGAAGAAGAAGAAGAAGAAGAAGAAGAAGAAGAAGAAGAAGAAGAAGAAGAAGAAGAAGAAGAAGAAGACGACGAAGAGGAGGAGGAGGAGGAGGAGCTGGAGGAGGAGGAGGAGGAAGAAGAAGAAGAAGAAGAAGAAGAAGAGGAGGAGGAGGAGGAGGAGGAGGAGGAAGAAGAAGAAGAAGAAGAAGAAGAAGAGGAGGAGGAGGAGGAGGAGGAGGAGGAGGAGGAGAACTGCAAATAGTACAATAAAAAAACTTCATGTTTCCCTTTCTTAGAGTTCATTTTGATAAGCATCATTTTATATGATCATATGCACATAGCTATTGAGCCCTCGTGATCCTTTCCGAAGAATATCCTCCTTTGGTCTCACTGTGTGAATGTTTAGAGTCCTGTTTAATCATGTTCAAGTGTAATTTTTGTCTTTCACTATCCATTGGGCTTACTTATAGATTTGTAGGCACATTCTAATTATTACAAATGAGGGAAACCATGAAGCCTATGTTTCTTTAGGTCTGGCTTACTCAATGTAAATTTTTCCAACTGGTTCCTTTCTAACAGTATCTTCTACCTCACTGTTTCTTCTGGGCTTTTGTTTTCCTGAATACTGTTCTCTTCTTTTATGGATAACTCCCTGAAAGTATTCCTGTAGCACAGACAAACATCTAAACCTCAGATAAATATTTTAATCACTTATGATACCCTATCACCAACCACTTACCAGAACTATCTTCAGCTCAATAGATCTCTAATGAAGCTCATGACTCAACTTTCTTTTTCTCAATTAATGTTTCACTGAAAGGCACCCAGGCTCAACTAAGAAACCTTAGTGTTTTCTTTCATCAATTTGTCTTTCTAACTTTCCACATCTAATCTAGAAAGTACTGTAGATTCTACCACTTTGTTCTCTTTTATCCTTTCTCGTTTCTTCCTCCACTCCTTCTCTTGCTTTCTCCCACTTTCTTCCCTTAATTCCTTTCTGCCTTTTTTCTTGCTTGCTTCTTTCCTTTCACTCTTCCTTTTTCTTTTTGTTATTGTTTGTGGGAGGAAGTGGAGACAAGATCTTGCTATGTAGCCATGGATCTCAATCTGATTGTTCATCTGCCTTAGTGCCAGGATCACAGGAATATGCCACCGCATCCTCTTGCATTTTCTGTAAGAAGCTTTTCTTGAAGCTTCTTGCTTTAGCCAGCTTTAATCTCCTCACCTCAAGACCGGCTGAGATGAAAATCTGGTCAGCATTATCCTGTTAAGAGTTCCACAAATGCTCTTAGCTCTTAAGATAAAGGAAAATGCTTTCTGTTTTTTGCCTGTCACTGTTTTTTTTAATTTCTGTACCTTTTGTCTTGTATGTAAGTTTATCTGATTTGGGGTGAACTCATTCAGCAGTGATACTCACTAGACACCATTGAAAATGAACTGAACAACTTGTGGGAGATGGAGGTTGGGAGGGAGAAAACGAAGGAAGAGATGACCCTTTAAAAAATGCAATCATTACCTGACATATGTAACTGTAACCCTCTGTACATCACGTTTACAATAACAATTTTTAGAAAAAGAGAATTACCCAGCTCCCCCATTATCTGGCCCCACAATGACTCACCTCTGATGCAGCAGCTGTTCATATTTTCTGTTACTCTCTCCTATCTCTATCTTCCATTTGTCCCTGCTTTACCTTGATTACTCTTTCTTGTCCTTCAGGTATAAATTATGTCACTTACTCAGCTAAACCTTCTTTGTTTTCCTAGTAGAGGATAGACCTGTATATATGTTTACTCCCTGGACATAACCCACAATACTAAATGCCTGAATCTGGAATTTATAAGTGACTTTCCACCAAACTAAATGCAAGAAAAGCCATGTCTGCCTTAATGTACAACAGGGACAGCACGTGGCATAGTGTGCAAGTGTGGCTACTGTTTCATGACAATGTGTTGGCTGTCGGATAGATTCCTTCAGGCTTAACTGCTACAAACTCTAATTTGTTAGAATCACTAGTCATACCAAATTTTTCCAAGAAGCACTCATTAGTGTGAACCATGGCTTTTCACAGGATGTTCAATAATTCCTAGAATAAGTTCCCATCTATGGAATATCTTACATTACCCAGCCACACTACTGTGCATCTGAAACAGATAATTCTATAATTCGTTATGTATAGTATTTTGTTCTCTGTGTTATCCACTTGTGATTCACTAATCTTGGATGATAAAAAAAATCAAACTGAGTCACAGAGGGATAAAGAAAGAAAGAATTTTCCCCTTTAACTGCTTCCCTAGGAATTTAGTGGGACCTATGGCAGTATCTAGGTTTTATTAGTCATCATAAAACGAAGGGCCATCATTTGTAGATAGTGCCACTATCAGGCATCTGGGCCTTGGCTGTTCCCTTGATAGTGCTTCTCACCTTCCTTTCCTAGTACATGTGTGTTCTTAGACACCACTGAAGAAGGAGGTGCTCTGAAAAACGTAATTTGCATATGGAGCACCTGCTTACTCTATGTCAAATCCTGGGTTTGAGTCTATAGGCTTGGTATGCTCACATTGTAAAGGTTCAAGACTGTAGACATGGTTCAAGTGGTAGAGCACCTGCCTAACAACCATGAGGACCCGGACCCAAGTTCAAAACTCCAGTATCACACACACATAAAAGTTCAGATTTTATCTTTGGTAACTCTCTGACAGTCAGCAAAGCTCTTTGTGTATTTCTACCATAAACCAAAGCTCTTTGTGTGAGGACCTCTGTATTAAATGCCTCCCTCACTGAGGTGTCATTATGTTAAATGACATGATCTTGTAGGAATACACTAAACAATACTAGTTAATGCTATCATTAATAAAAAGATGATAAGTGGTGAACTTTAATCATAGTATCTATATAATGTGGAAAGACTTAAAAGACAGAGAGATGGGAAAAATGGAATGATACCTGAAAATGCATCATGTAGAGCACGATGTAACCTGGGAAGTCAAAGGTTTCAAGTTGGAAGGACTCTAAGGCTCTTCATAACTTTCTTAGAATATCTAGGGTCCCACTCCTGTTTATTCTTTGTGTGGGTTTGAAGTAACAGCTGGGGTAGTCATCAGTTAAGTCTGTGCAACCCCAGTGTACATTTCTCATTCTACCTATCCCTGTAGCCCAAGGAGTTCCTGCATCCCAGAGGAGTCTAGATCCTAGAGGAACTCATTAAAAGCCCTCTCTCAGAGACCTGTGCTGTGACTGATTACAGTGTCTGATGATACTTGGATATACTCTGTGGAATGGAAATGGCAGGAAGCAGCAGGTGGATGGATGCTTACTCATGATTGCTTATAGGATGGACAAGGGGCCCTGTGTCCGTGGAGACTGCAATTTTGAGAGGTAAAGAAGAATGGTTGGAGAATCCATGAAGCCACCAAAGATCAGACTGTGAATGCTTTGAAATATTTTAGGGGTATAAAATTTTACCCATATAGGAAGTTTGGCAAAAGGAACAAAATCTACCCATAGAGGCATTAGATGTTTTGAAACAAAGTATCATTATCAAAGATTTGCTTTTGTGCATCCTGCCCTTCCGTCACGGTTTACAACCTTATCATCAGCCCATCAACATGGAGTCAAGTGACCATGGACCTCAAACAGTTATAACTATGAGCTAAAATACATCTTTCCTCCTTTAAGTTGTCCAGGTTGTGTATTGTATAAGAGTGATGCAAAACTGACTGATGCATAAGAACAAGAAATTTGGATAGTTTAATCAATTTTCAAACAAATCAATGAAACTGACATGACAAATTTTGTATTGAAAGGTACAATAAAATCAAATCCAACACTGTATGAGAGGAAATTACCATATCCCAAGGCTTTTATTCCAGGAATACAGTGGTGGGTCAATGTAAGATAAATGATTGTAAAGTACATTAATAGAGTGAAGTTCAGAAATACAAGTTCATCTCAAACATGTAAGAAAAGCATTTGATAAAAATTCAATGACAATTCATGATAAGAAAAAACAATGAACTAGCAATAAAGAAAATTTACCAAGATATTAATGAGCATTTATTAGGAACACATAGCTAACCTCACACTTAATGGTGAAAGACTGAAAGACACTCCCACAAAGATCAGCAACAAGGCAAAGATCCT